ACTCATACAAAATTGAGGAAGGATCGGCAGGGACACTAGAGTTAAATAACACCCAGAAGATCATATATGGATCTTGTTGCTGGGGGACGTGGCCCCAGCAACCAAAGTGCATCATCGTGATTGAGAATTCCTCCTGCCGTCCATGAAAAATAAATGAGTAAAATACTTGTATTGCGTAGCCATCCTGCTCAACGGCTTTCATAACGAGTTCCTTGTCTTCTTGCAATCGTGGGCCTGCAAACCTGAGAGCCATCCCATCAGCCTCGACAGCCTTCATCATGACAGTTTTGTCTTCTCGCAGCTCTTCGTGTGCGAACTCAAGGGCGCCAGCACATTCCTGAACGGCCTTCGTGAGCACATCGCGGTCTCTTTGCAGCTCTTGACTCGCATACTCGAGGGCTGTGCCCCTGCTTGCAACGGCTTTGAGAACGACGTTTAGAGCTCGTCACCACGAGAATTCATCATATAAGTTCTATCTTCTTAGTCTCTTGAGCTTCAGAAGTTGGCAATCCTTCCTATTCACATTAAGAGGAACGCTGTGGAGAAACGCTGTGGAGACAAAGTTCAATTTTCACTTTCTATCTCGAGAAGATGAGATTTAGTCAGATCATGAGCGAACATGAGTTATTAGGTGCTCATCTTAAAATATCACGGTCCTCTGCAAATTTCTTATCTGCGAGGCTCAGCGTATCTCCGTTGATTTCAACAGCCTTGAGCACTACGTCCCGGTCCTTTTTCAGGTCGTCCCCAGCCCAGAAGTGGAGAAAGTACCATGGTGCCACTCGTAGCATCTCTAGCAAAAGCGGCTTACAATTTCGCGTAAAGGTGGAAGGTCTGCCGAACTTTCTATCTAGTTCCTCTCGTCTGATTTGAAATCTTCTCGCGCCAGTGTTGAGAGGTTCTCGCCAGTCATGCCGCTGCACCTTGTGCTCGACGCAGGATTTCATACAGTTTTTCAACTCCTCAGCTACAACCTCGTCTAGCAGAAGGATTGAGCACTGCACATTCTTCACCCTAATGTTCTCGTCCACGGTCGAGGAACAAGTAGAACAGGAGCTCACCTTTCTTTTCTTCTTATCTTGAGAATGTAGCGGTGTGATTTCGCTCGCCTCAATCGCCTGCCTCTTCTTACCGCGAGCATCATGCTGGAGGAGCGTTTCTTCGTCTTGTTCCCTCCCAAGGATGTCAGAAACATCCTGCCGCTGCTCGTCTTCATAATCGGGCAAAGACGCGAGGGCCATAACATCGCAAAGTTTCTTGTCACCCTCGAGGAAGCCCATGGGAAAGCGAAACATTTCTTCACCAATCACAATCTGAATTTGTTCAACATGCTTCAAAGGTAGCGGCAGAGAGGACTCGTCCAGATCCTGCTGACGTTCCCTTCCTACAACTTGTTGGTGGGGGTCTTCCTCTCCTCCGTCGGGATCAGGGGTGTCCTTCTCCTGTACTGGATTAGTAGAACTAGAAGAGTCGCGTCCTCCAGCTCCGTTACCTCCTCCATCAGCATTACTAGATAAAGAAGCATTGTGCTGGTCTTCATGTTGCATAGTGTTGTCGCAATGCTTTCGCTTCGTCCCTCTTTTTGTCGGTGCTGGATTTACTAGCTCCTTATAAACGTGCAGCGCTAAATCCGCGACCGTGTCCGAAATGGACAAGCAAGATGAGCAATCCTCTTTGTCAGCTATATTTTTGTCATCGCGGATCTTCACCAACACACTTTTCCCGGACAACAGGTTACATGTCAAATTCACATGACATGGTCCAGAGCGTTGTGGTGCCAGCGATGGACTTTGATCTTGATCTTGACGTAGCTCAACTGCAGGCACTGGCGCACCAGTTTTTTTCGCATCTTCACTTCCTACGCCAGGTGATTTTTTAGTGTCTTCCGTTCCTGCGTCAACGCTTTTACCAATTCCTGCTTGCTTATGTTGATCGGCAACGGATACTGCTGTCGAGGACCCTTGCATCTGCAAAGATTCGTCGTCTTTCTCGAGAGCGCTAGCCAACGACGGTTTCGCTTTTCCTTCACTCGACGCTGTCGACCCCGTATTTGCCGAAGACATGAATCCTTGCATACGTGTGGCCCTCACCACGTCCAGGACCGCCACCACGACGACAAAAAGAAAGGAAAGACGAGTCTTCATCTTCTTCATTTTCAATGTTGAAATACTTACTCAGCAAGTCAAAAACCAATGATAAAACCCTAACTGTTCTTATTCATAGGCGCTTCTAGAAAGATGAGCCTGAAATTCTTCAAAGAACGTCTGTTGTTAAGTGGGGAAAGAATTGAATTCATAGCAACAGTTATCAAACCGAAGAGGCTCTTCTTGAGTGTGAAACTCAACGAAAATCGCAGACGGAGACGCTCACGATGTACTCGAAAATGAATAAGTACAACTACAAGCACATACCTGTGATGGATTATTAGGTACTTTCTGCAGAGCTGTCCAAGTCCTTAAAGTTAAACAGTCACCATCACTTGGTTCATCTTCGTGTGTCATGACAAGTAGACCACCACTAAGTAGAGAGCACCAGACATATTCTGACTCGTCCTTTCATGAAGAATCAGCACAGGCAAACTAGCATCGTGGGTGTTCCTCTTCCAACTTCCACAAGTACTAGAACCATGCAAGTTGTGACAACTGCTAACGTTCACAACTTGTGACAACGACTTGAACCATGCACTAATAATGGAGATCGTTCTCATTTTTAGTGCAGCACTTTTCTTTGGTTTTGGACGGTAGAAACTGCAAATGAACTACTTTACCTAGCCGGAGTCAAAGTCCGTTCGATGTTGCCCCTACGCTTCGCACGAAAAACTGTGCACTGAAGAAGATCGGAGTTCTCGTACGCAGCAGCTAGGTCGTTCAGTACAACATCATATTTCTGCCCCATAATGATCATTTTTATTATGGTAGAAGATACAAGGGCAGACTCTCTTCAACTTCATCAAGATCGCGCGATGACGTCGATATGAACACCTTACTAAGATTGTTTCATCCTCCCACAGCAGATCGATCAGGCATCACTCCGAAGATCCCACCACCAACCCCACGCTTTTGCTTTGTGTTTTGGTAACTAAAAATTGTTATCAGCGATCATAGAGGAAGGCGCAATCATATACTGCTGTCTATCATCATCATTTATACCAGAAACTTCTCCTTGTAGACAGAGATAAACACAAGGTGTCTGATATTCCGTCTTACATTTCGTAGTTGGCCTTAGAGGACCATGAAGGATTCACACCAAAGATAAAAACAAATTTAATTTTTGAACTTCTGTCGTATTCAGTAGGGGCTTCAACAAATACAAATTCCTAGTTGCAACACTCTACTAGCTTTCTGAGATCGGGAGGCACGGAAAGGAACCACCGAACCACCACGCAGAAGACGGTTACAAGTAAACATAGTGTGCATTTTCTTCTACAGCCAACGGCTACATGAGGAAAGTGACGCCTTTGCTACTTAGGTAAGAAGTCGCCGCATCAGTCTGAAGAAATATCCATCCTCTAGCAATTCGCAAGGTGCGTATCGAGCTGCGCCGTAATCTTGTGCTACAGCCTTCGTGACAATCTCTTTGTCGCGCTTCAGTGCATCATCTAGCCACTCAAGAGCGCTGCCGTCCTGCCCAACAGCCGCCATGGCAATCTCCCTGTCTTTGCGCAATGCTGGAGCTGCACACCGTATAGCGGAGCCATCAGTCTGAACGGCTTTCAAGACAATGTCGCGATCGTCGCACACCCACGCAGAGTTCCCCCCTCTCTCTGCGAGGAACCCGAGAGCCCAGCCGTCGCGTTCAACTGCCCTCGCGAAGATTTCTCTGTGGCCCTGCCCGTCTAGTATTTCACGAGCTGCATACGCCAGGGCCTGGGATTTGTTCTCAATAGCTTTCATGACGACGCCCGCATCTCCTCTCAATCCGCCACCGGCAAATTGGAGAGCCACACCATTCTGCTCCACAGCTTTCATAACGATTTCCCTGTTTTAGAGGTTGCGACATTACATTCTTCAGGTCATCCCTGACCCTTTTCCTACTGGAAAAAAAGTCAAGGATGGTAGTGAAGAATGCAATGTGGTAACCCTTAACTGTTGCATTTCATTACATCATCTGCCCACTCGAGTGCGTAGCCCTCCTGCTCAACGGCTTTTGCGACGACCTCCCTGTCGCGTGTCAGTTCATCATCTGCCCACCTAAGCGCGTGGCCACACTGCTCCACGGCTTTCGTGACAGTCTCCTTGTCGCGTTTCAGTGCATCAGCTGCCCAAAACAGTGCGTTTCCATTCTGCTCCACGGCTTTCATCACAGTTTTCTTGTCGCATCGCAACGCACCAGCTGCCCACTGGAGTGCTTTTCCATGCTGCTCCACGGCTTTCGTGACAGTCTCCTTGTCGCGTTTCAGTGCATCAGCTGCCCAAAACAGTGCGCTTCCATTCTGCTCCACGGCTTTCATCACAGTTTTCTTGTCGCATCGCAACGCAACAGCTGCCCACTGGAGTGCTTGGCCATCCTTGTAACCTTCAATTACCCTGAAACATGACCAAGCGGAACCCATCAAATCGGGGCCCATTTTTATTCTTGCGAAGTCCTTACTTTTTTCGATGACAGTTCAAGGTCCTGGCCGCGCGAATTCTAAAGAGACAACAAAGGACGAAGGTGGAAGGCGATCGGCGCAACACTTCACAGGGGGGAGCACCCACCGGCTGACATCTCTGGACGCTCGCGCGCTCTGCCTTCTCACTCTCGGCGGGTCGCTCTCACTCTCTCTCTCACCGTGTCGCCGCTCTTTTCGTACGTAGATACACAAGGCGCGTAGCACTCTAAGCAAAGACAACAAAGAAAGGAGCAAGACTGACAGAACGCAGCGAACCTATCAGCCAACGAGCCCACCTGTAAACTCATACTGCCAACGCGTTGGCCGCACGCTTTCCCCTCGCTTATAGTATAAATGTACTCACTCACACACCTCCAAAGAACACACAGCACTCGCAGAGAAGCCCGAGGCAAAACATATAAAAACTAAAGACTGACCGACAGACAAACGAGCGAAAGCCAGCGGTTACTTAGCTAAGTTTCTCTCTCTTTCAAGGTCAGCCAACTTACTCGGTCGAAGCGCTATCCGATTTGTGCGCGGTGAGTCAGTCAATGAATCGCAGAACACTCCAGGCGCCCTCGCCTCCTTGCGCGTTGCTGGAGCCGCGCCCCTCCAGTCGCGGCCGCTTCGTTCTTCCTTAGATGCATAGCTATACTCATACATCAGACTACGTACTCGAGCGAGCCCCAGCACCTACCACAGAAAAGAGCGCCCGCCCCCTCTGCTTGACTATTTATATACTTCCTCGCAGGCCCTGCCCTGAATCAACTCACGCACCCACCAGCCCAGTGAACGAGATTGATAGATAATAGCTAGAGCGAAGACCTGCGATAATTAACGCACGCCCCCCCCTACATACATTCATATATACACACATAGACAGACGCCACGCGTCCACCGACGCCCACAAAGTTCAGGGCCTGATAAGTGTCCAGCGGTGCCCTGCTTTGTGGGTATCTATCGCTGCACACTCGTCGCCGATGCCTTTGCCGATGGATGGGCTCACTCTCTACCTAGACTACGCGCGAGGCTGCTGGCCCACCCCTCGATGGTCCACGCTGGTAGACCAACGCCCGCCACACACTTGCGTGCGAGCGTGCATGCTTGTTAGTCGAGCGGCGCAGCCCACCGCCGCCACGATGGAAGGCGCGACCTCTTTCAAGAAGGAACACCCAGACTGACTCAGCTGACTGACTGAGACCACACGCGAATCGCGTAGAACTCAACGAACTGAACACAGAGCGAGGCAGGCGCCCCCGCTCGCTGGCTGCGTTAGTCTTCCTTCGTTGCTTCGTGTCCGTTGGTCTCACTCTCGTAAACTAACTGGCGCATCCTGAGCCACGAACTTGCTCACTTCGTGAAGCTCATGCACTGCCTGCGCCACTTGTTCACTTGCTTCCTTCTTCGCGGTGTCATCTATGAATGTACGCGCTGCGCCTGCCTTGTGCGTGTGCCTATGTATCTCCCGAAGCTTGCGCCTCTCTCGCTCTGTGTTCGTTAGTTAAATTTATTATGCGCGTCGTTGTCGTTCGTTGTATTCATATAAAAAAAAGAAAGGCCGGGGCGTCGTCGGTAGTTGTTAATACATCAGCCAGCAGGGCTACGCACTGCCGGCACAGCTCAGAAACAGCGGCCAGCGAGCAGCAAGCTTCTAGTTACGACGACGCATCTTTTCAATTTCAGCAAGTTCACGCTACTGAGTACTCATTAGATAGACTAGCTACCGAAACCGAAGCGGAACGCTCGGGCACATATGGGATCTGCCCTGCTCGAAATACAGCCAACACGAAGCCAAGCCCTACTCTTTCGGGGTAATTCAATGAGGCGAATGAAGCCCAGGCCTCAGTATACAACGGGGGCCGTCTGCTGAGTGACTGCCTCCCTTCATGGCCAGACGATTCTTTCACTGGCGCGGGAGTCTCCTTGATATATTCTCAGACGGGGCCAAAGGACTGAGGCCGTGTCTTCTTACTTTGCCGGTGTCTATGTATTCACACACTGAATCGAAGCAACTCAGTGCGACGGGCTCACGAGCTCGCTGGAAGGGGGAAGAGTGCGTCCGTCGATAGATATTATTTTTTATAAGGCAGCACGAGGCTGGTTGTCTGTTTTCGCATTCGTTATACATAGACAACACAAGGGGACGAAGCTGGTTACTTCGCAGATTCATTCTGCTCTGATGCTTGTTTCTCGCTTGGGGGATCGATAGAGATTGACTGGCTAGATATTAGTGGAGCGATCTTGTTGCATTTGCTCGCGATAATTTGAAGGGATTCACTTCTTAGCTCCCTACGCCCTAAACTTCTAAGGAAAACTAACAGCGCGAGCAGCTCAGCCATACACTCATATTAACAGCATAGCGCTTGAAGTGGTCGCTATTGAAATAGATGGAAGCCCAATTTTGATTAGTCATTAGTGCAGGCACGCATATAAATGAAAGCTCAGTTCTGAATCAATCACGCATAGACATAGATAGAACTACAAGCACCAGCGAGCGCGGCAGCAAGAAGCTGCTGCACCTGCGAGCGCGACACACATCGAAGAAAGAGAGTCCCGATCAATGGACGCCGCGTCTGCGAGTAGTCTATCTAAGAAGTTCAGCCTGGAGGAGAATGGCACGCAATGCCCCTGATCTGATGAAGGAGATCGCGACCAGTTAGTAACACCATTAATAGCTCAGCCATATTCTCACTTCCCTACGTCTCTACCTCTACTTCTCATCAGCTGAGAACCAGAGAGAGGAAAAAGGAGCTCAGTAATCTTTACACAGCAAGGGGCTCGCGGAATCACTATACACATAGCCAAGCGCGCTCTCTTCCATAGTTTTCTTTACAGTCTACAATCAAGAAGCATGTAAACAGTTATACAGTTGGCAACTTCGTCTCTGCTAGCTTCCTCATCCTCATACTGTTGGATAGGTAAGATAGAAGCTGTGGCTCTCGGCTCTAGTACTTAGTTCGCAGCTACAACCTACCCCAGGCTGCAAGCGGATACAAATGCGAAGACAGCAACAAAGCTAGAGCAGGCCAAAAAAGAGGCAGCTAGCTACATGGCCATCCCAAAGGGGTTGGCCTTCGCAAACTCTGCAAAGGAGAGACGAGCTGCAGCGGGTGCGACTGAGTAACACCGGACGGCTCGAGCCTTGCTGGGAGCTAGGTTGGTTCTGTAGATTTGTGGCGTCTTGCGAGGAAACTTCGCTGCAGCAAGTAGTGACGCCATCAGCAAAAGCCAGCTGCCAAAGTCAGCAGCTGGCCTCATCAGTCTAGACCCATCAAAGAGCAGAAGCCAGCCAGCAAAAAGCGAAGGCAACCCATCAACAACCCATCAACAACCCATCAACAACCCATCAACAACCCATCAACAACCCATCAACAACCCATCAGCAACCCATCAAAACCCATCAAGCGAACCCATCAAAACCCATCAAGCGAACCCATCAAAACCCATCAAAACCCATCAAATTGATGGGATTTCCCATCAAATTGATGGGTTTTGATGGGTTTTGATGGGTTTTGATGGGTTTTGATGGGTTCGCTTGATGGGTTTTGATGGGTTCGCTTGATGGGTTTTGATGGGTTGTTGATGGGTTGTTGATGGGTTGTTGATGGGTTGTTGATGGGTTGTTGATGGGTTGTTGATGGGTTGTT